GAAGCTTCCCTGTTTTGCGAAGAGCAACTTGCCAAGAAGAGCAAAGGTATAAACTGCTCCTTAGGCTTGGTAAGGGGAGATAACCCATCCGGTAGAATCCTCGCTCCTTCTGTTCGTTTTCTCAAAGGTACGGCAGATCGGAGAAGCACACTTGCTTCCCTGGATGTGACGAAAGATGCTAAGCCTCGGTCTTTGACATCTGGTTCAGGTCTGACTAATGTCTGGGAGAAGCACAGATCTTCTCTATCTGATGTTAGGGAGACGCTCCGAGCCTATATGCTTGATGTTGGGAGAAACACACACCTTCCCTGCCCTGATATCGGGAAGATGCTCAACTTCCCTGCATGATGTTGGGGAGAAGCATGCACCTTCCCTGCCTAATGTCGGGGAGATGCTAAGAGCTTCTCTGCCTGATGGTGGGGAGAAGAACACACCTTCACTGCTCTGTGAAGATCAATTTTGTCGAGAAGAGTACGGGCATGAAACTGAACATCAAGGGAGCGATGCTTGGACGTCTCCTTGACGCAGGGAAAGAGAGCGGTGCTTGGACGAATCCTTGGTGCAAGGAAAGAGAGCGATGCTTGGATGACTGATTCCTTGTCATTTGTTGAGTTAGTGAGAGAGTTCTCTTGTAGGTCCGCTCACTCATGCCGGTGATCGGAGGGGTGCACATACTTTTTCATGTGACAAGGAGCCCAAGGTGGCCCGACCTGCTGCGATTTGAGGGCAAGGGCTTCCAAGCTATGCATCGATCCGTGCCTCTCCAACATTGTGAGAGTATCGCTTGATCGCGGGCGGTTTGGAAGGATAGATTATCTCACTCCTTTGCACAAACTTGGACAGATACTAGGATGACGAGCTTGACGTAAAAGATGCACAAGTGACGGAACCTCCACTTTGTGATGGTATGTGTGACCAGCCATGATTTATTCTTAGGAGTGAGAGACCCGAGCTCGGAGCTGGGGTTGGCTCTCGCCCGTCGATGAATTCAGACGTAAGTCATGCACTATCATGAATGCACAACCTCGACCAGGAGATAGCCCTCGACGAACTTGACCTGGAGATAGCTTTGCACGAAAATGACTCTCGTACTTGGCCTGGAGATAAGTGTGCGTGACTCGAGATGGATGGTGAGGTGATGATTGGTGGCCTCTTCATGACCACGTACTTAGCTTGGTTTGAATTACAAAGAAGAGCTTGAACCGGTGTTGGGTAATCTAAGCTCAAGAGTGGACGGAAAAAGCAGAGGATGCCTTGAAGGTACACAACTTGTCATGGAGCAAATGATTGGAGCATGCCCGAGCGTGGCTGCGACAAAGGATATGAAAGTTCCATCCGAGCTTAAATCCAAGTAAGACCAGCTGGAGTCGTCGTCTCGGGATGCAGGGCATTAGGTAGTTGCAGTGTTAAAGCATTCCCAGTGATTTCAGAGTTTGCAAGCTCTAGGCTCGAGGCCCGACCTCCGGAGCATGTCCGAGGATCGAGGATGTAGTAGATGAGGCAATTGCCATGTTCAAGGTCTCCCTAAAGTTTTCGGAGCTTGTCATTTCTTGGATCGAGGATCGGCGTCTGGAATATGTCCAAAATTAGTTGCGGACCAAGTAAGGTTGCAATTGGCGCAAGAAAGAGGCCTTGTTCCCATTTAGATGTGGCTGGCATGATACGCAGACTAGCCGTGATGAGGCGGAGAAGATGGGCAATGATGATCTCAGAGTTGTTATCCGTGATTGATTTATTGCTTGAGCTCGTATGCATCGTTCATTCTTTCAATTTACTTAGTCTTTTTCCATTCAAGAATACTTGGAGAACTAATCGGGGATCTGGCTCCCCACCTAGGTCGTGAGGGGCGGAAGGTTGTAAGGGCTGACCTTGACCACACCCTGCTTGGTAAGGAGGGGCTCACCCGCACACTATCGATCTAGGACCGATGAGTGTGCAAGCTGTTCGGCCAACGGTCAGACAACGGATGTATGGGAGGGGCTCGGAGCACGACCTCTCGCATACCTTCAACCCGAAGGCTGGTCTTAAACTTTGACTTGTACAGTTAGATTCATACTTAGGAAAAGTTTGGTTATCCCATTCTGAAAGTCAAACTAGAGTCGGCCAAACGTAAGGGCAAGGCCCTGCATGATCAGGCCAGAACGGACCCACATCGCTGACCATATCAAATGAGTATGCGGGCTGTTAAGCCTAGCAACGTCAGACAAAGGACGTATAAGATGGGCTCGAAGCACGACCACTCGCATACCTTCGGCCCGAGGACCGGTCATATAGTCGCCGCACCGATGATTAGGTCAAACGAGTATGCGAGCTGTTTAGACAGCAACGTCGGACAATGGATGTACGGGAGGGGCTCAGAGCACTACCTCTCGCATACCTTTTCGACCCGGAGGCCGGTCTTACGGTCGCCCTGACCGAACAGCTAATCCCAGGCTTAGAGACTAGTTTGGTAATTTCCTGGCCCGAGGATCGAGCCATGGTCGACTAAACACCGAGAGCGGGGCGTCATAGTTTTTTTTGGCCGCCGCCCATTCATTTCCAAGTGAGGTCGGACCTCATTAAATTCTAGACTGGAAAACAACTTTTTTTGAAGTAACGAAAGAATTGGAGACGTGAGGAGTTGCTTCGAGTTCTACACTTTATCTGTAATTTGTGATGATCCGCTCACAGAATGTCGGAGAGTTGCTCTGCGCTCCGCACATGACCTACTAGCTTGTGATTCTCTGCTCTTAGGAATTGATCGACGGGGTGCCCTGCGCTCCGCACTTGTTCTACAAACTTGCCTGTCGTGGTCTTTGACCTTTTGTTTCGGTCTCTCGGGGTTGTCCTGGACAAATCAGCTTTGTGTTGCAAGGTCTGTACCCCTTCGTCAATGGTGCTTCCACGCTGCACCTGGAGCAAGGTCTGTACCCCTTCGTCAACAGTGCACCTGAGCCAAGGTGGAGATGGCCTTTGGAGATGGCCTTTGGAAATTGGCGATTTGCGTAGGGGTCCGTCCAACCTCGATGACGTGATGAGTCTTCCCCTCGGTGTAGGATTGTCTTAGAAGCCATGAACTTCCTTTGGATAAAGTAGGACGAAATTGAGTTGATTTATGGTCGACCTATCTGCGTGAGCTTGGGCAACATGATTTTCGTCATTATCATCTCGGACTTGCGTGCTACAACGTGGTTGTGAAACAAATCTCCCTACGGAGACAGTACGTCCACTTCGTTGAATCAAGCTTGTGCAACCAAGTCTCCGGGTGATGAATGTGTTCCTGTCTCGTCAAACTAGGCCCGTGCAACCAAGCCTCTTGGTGGTGACCGCATGCTCACGTCGCCGGGTTGGGCTTGTACGACCACGCATCCTGGTGACGACCGTGCGGCCGTCTCGCCATGGCAGGTTCGTGCAACCAAACTTCCGGGTCGTGACATTCCGTCTACCTCGCCAGTTTGAGCTCGTGTAAGGGTACCTGATCTGCCGATTGTCGCTGCAGGTGTTCTACGAATCCTCTTGGTGGTGGCCAAATGCTCACGTCACCGGGTTGGGCTTGTACGACCACGCATTCAGGTGACGACCGTGCGGCCGTCTCGCCATGGCGGGTTCGTGCAACCAAACTTCTGGGCCGTGACATTCTGTTCACCTCGCCAGGTTGAGCTCGTGCAGCGGGTACCCGACCCGCCGATTGTCGTTGCGAGTGTTTGGTAAGGTGGTAGCTTCAAACCTGCATGTTCTCCCGGTAAATGCTACACGACATGTCGGCGTTGGTGACTAACCTGCAATTTCAGAAATTTTAATAAAAGTTCCAGATTTTTTTAATTTGTGGTGTATCACTATTGATGATTCTCCTCGTTAGGATAGATTGAACTGGAGCGCAGCTACCCTAAACTTAGTCTATCCTCATTAGGATAGATTGAATTTGAGTGATAGTCTATCCTGAACCGCAAATTATACCCTACGACCGGTCTACCATCCGCATGGTATACCGGTCATAAACGGCGTCATTTTGCTTATTAAAAAATTAGATTAGCTCTTTTCATTAATCGAACCTGCAGCTCATGGATAACTGATTTCTCTCCGCTCTGCGATCCCTTCGATTCGTTTCTAAGGTTCTTAGATGGATTTTTCTGTCGACGATTCCGCTCTTTTTGCTTCTGATACACACGATAACATTAATCATTCAATTGATGATAATGATTTCGAAGTTGATCAGCTGGTTGATGTTGAATTGATTGGTAAGTATAAATTTTTCGTGTTTTATGAATTGATCAGCTGGTTTATGTTTTATGAATTTTTCATGTTTTTCGAAGTTGATCATGTTCTCTGTTTTATACCATTGCTTGAGAATTTCGATTGTATGAGTATTCATAGTTTTGATTTTATGTTCAGGAGAAGAAGATACTATTTCAAAAGCTTCTAAATTGTTATATCTTCTTAGCAGAAGTATTTATTCTGTCATGTAACTTCATTTCATTTTGGTTGTAATTCCGTTCGATGGTATTTAACTCGCGTCTCAATTGTGTGTAACTTGTGTTCTCGGATATGTAACTGTTGTTTAATTTAATGTAACATTGTGACAGTATGTAGTTGTTGATTGTTTTTCATATATATGCTTTATAAATTGGCAGATTCATTGGAAAATGTTCACCAGTCAACTGAGAGTAAATCACTTGTTGGGCTTAGTGTCAATTGTGAACAGGACGCTTACAAACTTTACAATGATCATGATTTTGAAAATGGATTTGGTATTCGTAGATGCAGACAGAGGTTTAGGAGTGGGAATGTAAGTTTGACTATGAAGTCTTATTGTTGTTGGAAAGAAGGGAAGAACCTACAAAAGGGCACCGAAAACAAAATGTATACCAAGTTAGATTATCGCACTGGTTGTAAAGCGATGTTACAGTTTTCTATTAGTAGTGATGGTGAATGGACTGTCTCAAAGCATATTATTGATCACAACCATGCTTTCTGTGCAATTGGTCAAAGACACCTGCTGAAATCACATAGAGGCATTGATCGTGAGTATCTTGAATTTATTATGTTGATGAAGGAGAGTGGAACAAAGGTTTCAGATGTTCACAGGATGCTTCAAAAACAGGCTGGTGGTGTTAGTGCTCTTGGATTCACGAAACGTGATGCTTATAACGTTCTAGAATCTGAAAGAAGTAAAACGTTTGATGGTACTGATTCGAACACTTTGATTGGTATATTTAAGAAAAGGGCTGAAGTGGAATGTGATTTTTTCTTTGATTTTGAGTTGGTTGATGGTATACTGACTTGTTTTTTCTGGAGAGATGGTCAAATGAGATCTGATTATGAGAGGTTTGGAGTTCTTGTTGTGCATGATACAACTTACAGGACTAACAAGTATGATATGATCTGTGGTTCATTTATTGGTATGAATCACCACTGTAAAAATATAATGTTTGGTTGTGGCTTTATTCTAAATGAAAGTGTGGAGTCTTTTGTTTGGTTATTTCAGACTTTTCTGAAATCTATGGGTGGTAAACACCCCATCAGTTTCATGACAGACCAGTCATTTTCCATGGCAACGGCTATCAAATCTGTATTTCCTGGGGCGAGACATAGACTCTGCACTTGGCATATAGATGAGAATTCAAAGAAACACATCATGCATCTACGCAAGAAGATAAATTTTGTTTCTCCTTTTGATTATGTTGTCAAACGATGTGATATTGTTGCAGAGTTTGATTTCTATTGGAATGAGTAAGTTATTGTTATCTGATGTAACTTCGTGATTATTTTATGTAACTTTTTCAATCATTTGGTGTAACATATATATCTTCATATGTAATCTTGTCTTCTTTTCAAATCTGTTTCAGATTGAATACAGTTTATGAATGCAGTGACAACACATGGTTGAAGAGGCTGTACAGTCATAAAGAAAAGTGATGTCCTGCTTTTTCGAAGGATTACTTCTCTGGTGGTGTTTTATCCTCTCAAAGAAGTGAATCTACAAATAGATCTATATCTAGAAGACTTACCGAGACTGCAACATTATGTGATTTTTACAAAATGTTTTGTGATGTTGTTGATGAATAGAGGTTTGATGAGAATGGTCATGATTTGAGATGTTCTGAAGGCACCGTTGAGATGGTATTGCTACAAGACACTTTGTTGACTCATGCGAGAGATGTGTATACCCTTGAGATTTTCAAAGTGTTCCAAGAACAATATTTGAAGGGTATGTCACATTTTTTTAAATTAATCTCACAGAATTGTCATGACTATGTGTATCATGTTTGGTTGAATGGGGTAGATATGATTAGACACAGTGTTACTTTTAATCAGCATGACAACACAGTGACATGCACTTGTAAGATGTTTTCTGAAGTTGGCATTTTTTGTAGACACATTTTGCGTATATATAATGTGCATTGTGTCAAATGTATTCCCCAAGTTTATATACTCTCTAGATGGACAAAGGCTGCCATTCTGCCAAATGTTAATCTTTCTGTTACGCACGGAACCGATATTATGTTTGGCAAAATATTGGAAGATTCTGTTTGGAGAGTGCAAATGACTAGGAAATTCAACTCAGTATTGAGTGCAAGTGCTGGTTTTCCTGAAGCTAGACGAGTATGTGATCAAGGATACGAGTCTATTAAACATTTTTTAGATGCACAAAGAGATGCTTCTGTTGTGGATGAATCTGCTTCTAGGACAATATTGGATCCTCCACGGTCTCGTTCTAAAGGTCAGTGAAATACCCGAAAGAGAAGTATTGTTGAGAAACAGTGCAAAATAGTCAAAGCTCGCCGTTCGAAATCCCAAAATGCTGCCTTCAATTCAAAAGCAGTTGCTCAATCCGTTGTACAGGTATTTGTTTATTTTTTATGTATTTTATGCATATTTTCTTATCATTAATTTTTGTTTTGTTTGATTGTAGGACACTGTTAATTTCATGGTTCCACAAGGTTATGTACTTGCTCATCCAATTGGAGGAATGACGTCTTTAATGCATGTGCCTGGATCTCCACAAGTTTTTGCTCCATACTTCATGCAATCCAATGCTTTGAACCAAATGCAGAATTAGTTATAGTCACACATGTTTGGAAAACCAAATGCTTTGAGGAGTTTACATATCATATTGTGAACTTTTACTTTTGTTGCAACTTGAGTTACATTTGATTTTATAGAATTTATACTGTCTTTACAGTTTGTTTACATGTCATACAGCATTGCCATAAATACAATACGCAATCAAGTTTGTTTACATTTATTTAGATTACAGAATGTAATCTGTGCAGTCACAGCTCAGTAACAATAGTTACATTGTTTTTCCCTTCAGTTACATAGTTTTTTAACGTGACTTACATTTGTTGTACTCATTGTTTAGATCAGATGTGTATTACTTGATTAGCTAATGCAAGGGTACATAAGTTATATAAAGTGAGAAGAACGCTTTAGGTGAGAAGTGAGAATGAATCTCAGCCGTTGGATTCGACATAAAACATATAAAACAAACGAGTTTACATCAACTTATCATAATCCAACATATAAGTTTTCCACATACTAAACAGATAACTTTTGAGGTGCATTACAAACTACTGCATAAAACCAAGAATTGTCTAAAACCCATACCACTGCATTACAAGCTACTGCATACAAACAGATAACTACTGCATAACCCATACCACCACACCCTCCATAAAACCATGAAATGATTTGATTGTAACCCCATCATATTAATTAATTACATCTTCAAGTAGTCTTTTGCTTTTTTCAAAATGTTTTCCCTTTCTTTGTTAAATTTTGACAGTAAAACTTGAGCTGCATACATCAATCTCATCTTTCAGATTGTTTCATTTTGAGCTTTTATTCCATCATTTGTGGCAGCAGTTGCAAATCCTGAATCCCATACATGTCCTTGCCCACGAAACGTCTCCAAGTGACGCAAAGTATATACTCCACAGTCAACGTGATTGCTATTATGTCTCCATTGCATGTATAAGATTCTGGGGACCCAACTTGTTGTGCTTGAAATCTGCACTTTCTCACAGAAGGCTTTGAATCCTTCATGATATACAAGAAGTAACATTAATGAATTAAAATAATATGGAATAATATGATTTCTTATTTCCAAAAACATTGTATTGAATTTTTACCAGTTTTTAAAAAGTTTTGCCATATTTGTCCTCAACGCTCACCCCATCTGGAAGCATCCGGTTGTCAATTACATCAACAATGTTGTTTGTTGTGTAAAAGCAGTAGATATAATAGTGCTCATGATTGTGAATGGGAAACAGTATCTGCAGTATTATAAGCAATTCATCTTCAGTTACATAAAATAATACAGAATCTACATAATTCATATCAGAACTTACATCCCTCAGCTCTGTAGTTACATACTACGGTATTATTTTTCACCCTTTGTTTTAAAAACATTTTAAACAATATATCTTATACACTGACTTACATAAAACAATAGAGTTTACATAATTCATATAAGAACTTACATTAGTCAACAGCTGCGGTTACATATTATGCTAAACATTTTCTATTACTCATATTGTTTCACACTGATTTACATTTAAGAATATATATATAAGGATTACCAAATTTGACTTGTATTTTTACACTTGAATTATGTAAAATTAAATATTAATGACATTTTACCATATCTAATTTTGTGACATCTGCTGCAGCTTCATTTATTTCTTTTTGCAATCTGTCAACCATATTTTCTATTGGGTCACCAGATGCAAAATCAAACATTGCCTGCACATTCAAATTGAGTCACTCTTAGGAAAATATAGAAACTGAAGTTCTCTACTTTATTTTACAATTTTACAAGAAAAAAATATACATACATATACTTGGGTTGACGCAATGAAGGCACGCTTTGTAGACTTATTTGATTCTTCTCTGTCATTCAGAATCTTAGTGAATGCATCAATTATTGAGTTGTCTACATTTCCTTCTTGAAGTGTCTGAATTTCTTCATGAGTTATAAACACACCTTCCTCATCTAGATAGACACAGTCTCTAACAGAATAATATTTTTTCAAACAAATTGAAACAATTAATTATCAAATGGTGTTTATATTGAAATAATACATTATATAATATTAGTTTTTCTTACTTTTCAACTTCTTTTGAGAATCCCCAATCAACAACAATCTTTTCATCTCTGCTAAATTCCTTGAATAACCTTCTATTATTCTTCAGAAAAGGTGATCTGTAATTGACAATTGAATCACCTAACTTTCGAAGCTTTCTCTTTCTGGTATATGGCTTTAGACCAACACTCCTTTGTAAAAAATAATATAATGTTAAGTTTATTTTATTAGTTAAAAGTATTGATGAATTACATAAGAAAAAAATAAAACTTACTCTGACTTATTATCAATTTCCTTGTTTACTTCTCCATCATCTCCAATCACTTCTTCCTCAGCAGCCATTTGAGCCACTTCAGCGACTTCAACATTACCATTCACTTCTCCATCAACAGAAACAGTTTCAGTCATTCCAGCAATGGTGTCAATCATCACATCTTCCACTCCATCAACAGTTTCAGTCATCACATCTTGTACATCAGGAGCAGTTTCAGTCTTCGCAGCTTCTACATCCACTTTTGATGTGCCTTCACCCTGTGACATGTTAAACTCAATTCTTATGTCAAATGAAGGCATTGAAAATTTCAGGAATGCTGCTTTCTCTAGTTTCTCAAGGGCTTCCATAACTCCAAGCTCATTAAAGAAGTCATCATCTTCCTCAAGGACACACTTCTCTGATAATCGTTGAGTTCCTTTTGCTTGATTTCCATTTGCTTGATTGATGAAGTAATCAGCTGTGGTCAAGTATATCTTCTTCAAGATATCAGAATTGGGGAACTTTTTTGCAATGGTTGACGGCAACTTTGAGAATTCCACAAAAGCATCACTAAACTTTTGTGCCACAGCTATAATCTCCTTCACACAATCCTATAAAAATTATAATAATAATTGTTTAATAATACATAAGATACACAGTTATTGAATTAAGATTACAGGCTCCTTGGAAAAATCCTATAGTTATGTAACAATTGATTTAAGTTACATAAAATAGTCTTTAAGATCACAAAGTGTTGTATTAAAATTTACCTCCTTTGACAACATTTCAGCATCTTCATTTTCTTCATCTTCTTTTCATGCTTCCTCTTCATCTTTGTCTTCCTCTTCGACTGTTATTATTCGCTTTGTCACCTTTCCCAGACCAAAGCCCACCTTTCTCTCATCTTTGACTCTTTTGTCAATTCTCTCCTTGTCCCAGATTCTAATGGTTGGATAAGCACTCTGCATAATTTGGCCTTTGAATTGTACTCGGTCAAAATAACATATCATTAGAAACAGTAATAGTCCACTGAACATCTTTGATTGATTAGTTTGTCATTCCTCGCCTGCATCCATCAACGATCTTATTGTGTAGTTGCACCAATTCATGTTTGGTATATCAGCTACATTAACCAAAGACATCAATATTTTAAAATTGCTGTTGACACTCTGGTTTCCTCTGATCAGGCAAGAGACTGTAAAGACCACAAAGTTTCTGATGAATCTGTCTCCAGAGTCAGTATCTACAACTATTTTTTCAATCATTTTTTATGTTTGAGGGCTTCCTTTATCAATCCCTCATTCTTCTCTCCATTCTTGTAGCAGTTGGGTATACTCTTCAGTTTCATTCTTCGCATTCGCTTCTTGAACTTCTATCTTTCCCTTTGGCAGACCAAATAAAGCTTTGACATCTTCATCTTCAATATCTAGCAGCTCACCATTGGCAAGTTGTAGCTGTCCTGAAATTGGTCTAAAGTTCTTCAACAAAAACGCAACCAAATCTCCACAGAATATGTCAAAGTTTAAATGCAGTAATCCCCCAAATCCAATCCTTTCAACTGCTGCTTTTTTTCTTTCATCTAATTGTTTAATCAACTTTATGAAAGGGGCTGGTCCTACTCTTGTTCTGAGGTTTACAGAAGGCGACCTGTTGCTTGTCTCCACTTCTTCACATTCATCGTCTGATTCTTCAGATTCTGCTTTCTTCTTTTTTGGGGCTGCTTTTCTTTTTTTGCTTGTTGTTGGTTGATGATATTCTAGCCTTAGAATCGGTTCTTCTGTGTTCAGTATCCTTGCAGTTTCATTCTGATGTTCTGTATGCTAAGTTTCATTTTCAGGAGCTACATCACTTCTTGTTCTCCTTATATTCCACATGAGTTACATTTTTATCACACACAATTGCCATAATAGTGAAATGAAGTTACATCATTCACAATCAGATGAGTAATGTCATGTGGAGCACATGAGTTACATCTTTTTACACACAATTTACATAACAGTGAAAAGAAGTTACATCATTCACAATCAGATGAACAATGTCATGTGGAGCACATGAGTTACATCTTTTTACACACAATTTACATAACAATGAAAAGAAGTTACATCATTCACAATCAGATGAACAATGTCATGTGGAGCACATGAGTTACATCTTTTTACACACAATTTACATAAAAGTGAAAAGAAGTTACATCATTCACAATCAGATGAACAATGTCATGTGGAGCACATGAGTTACATCTTGTCACACACAATTTACATAACAGTGAAAAGAAGTTACATCATTCACAATCAGATGAACAATGTCATGTGGACTTGCTTACAGTCACAGACCAAGGTAGAGGATTTATGTATTATTATACACAAGTTACATAAAATTAATAAAGTTAATCTAGTATTAGTTTCAGTGACATGCAACACTATATCACCAAAAAAATTCAATGACAAACTAAGGCATAACAAACATATTGAGGTATGCAACACTATATTATCAAAAATTGTAGTTACATCGACAAATTCCTTATTATGCTCGATGACATATGAGCATTCGCACTTTGCTTATTCAAATTGAGATCACAATAAGACATAAATCACACTATTCAATACTCAATCTCTTTCGTTTTTGAGAGTGACTTACATGCATGTTAAAATTTATAGCAAATTAGCACATGAATCATATTGTTACATTCTCAGACATACATTTTGAACTTCAAAAAGCAAAGTACATAGTTCGTTCGGATGAAATACCTTGCAACTGTTTTGCCTTTAGACCTCGTCATTTTCTCGATCTGCAAAACGTTCTTCTTCGTTCGGATTCTTACTTTTCCTTCTTTAGAATGCACTTCGAATGGTGGAACTCTGTCTGATGGAACTTGATGGAAGCGTGAAGTCAGAAAGTTTATCGAGAAATGTAAATAGCCAATGTCAAAAGACGCAGCTATGGGAAGAAAAGACGCGCCGATTTCGAGAAGGCCGTTTGTACGCGTTTTTTTAATTAATAGAACGACGTCGTATTGATGAGGGTGTAGCATACTCATACTGGGCCGGTCCTATGGTATAGGGACTCATCCTGAACTTGGTGAGTTGGAGGCCTGAGGAAACTAATTTCATATTTGGCCCCGCACCTACCGGGAGAAGAGAAGTCTGGGCTTCGTAGGAATTTTGACTAGGTCAAAATTAAGAGCAAAGAATAGATGTCCAGCAATCTTCCGTGGACAGTCATCCCCTCCACCCAGCTTTGCTTCTCTAGATCTACAGGCTGGGAAGAGAGAATAGGGATGGGGAGGCCTGAGCCGAAAAAGAATCGATCCTCAACCGTGGTATCAAAGATTAGGGTTGTCGTCAATTTCGCCGGATTCCACCATCTGGAACGTCTCTGCCTCCGTACGCCGCTGTACGCCGCTGAACGCTGCCAATTTGAGGTCCCTGGAGTTCGCCGGCTGTTCGCTGAAGCCTCGCTCCTCTTTCTCCATCGAATCTGGTTCCCCTCGCCGTCGGCCGTCGAGTTCGAAGCTGAAGACGTTCGCCGGAAATTTGAAGCTCGTGGCTGGAGACCGCTCGCCACTGAAATCTCGCCGCTGGAGGTTGCCGTCGCAGGGAGGGCGCGCTCGCCGTTTGGTTCGCCGTCTGAAGCCACCGCCTGAGAGTTGTCCGTTTTTGTCGTTCTTCTTTCGTTTGCAGAAGGAGGCGTGTCGGAGACGTTGCTAAAGGAAGGCTGCGCCTGGGCTGGACTTGGGCTGCCCTAAGCTCTTCTCCTGTGCGGTCCATACTTTTCCAATCTGAAAAATCTAAATTCAGGTCTTGGAAATTCAACGGGAGACCCTAAAGGACGGCAGGCAATGGCAGTTGGTATACCGTGGGAGCAGTCCACGGTGAGCATGCTGCTCCCACACAAAAAAACATGTTACTGTTCACGCGCGTGAACAGTAACTTCTTTTTTGTATTTTCATTGTCTCAGTAGAGAAATAGATGTAACTCGCGTGTAACAAAATGTAACTCAAGCTAATAAGAAATGTAACGGTAAGCAAATCAAAATGTAACTTGTCTAATACGAATTATAAGAATTAAAACATTGATCTTAATGAAAATAAGGAGTCTAATTGCTCAATCACTTTACTTAAATGGTTCATATGTACAGTTTTTAATATTAAAGACATAAAAATGTTTTTTTTTTATCTTTTTTTGCCAAAAAATCCCAAAAAAAAGAAGTGACTTTTTTTATTCAATAGCAGGGGATAACATAATAACATAAATGGTGAATATATTTTGCTTTTAATACTAAGTCCATAAAAATGATTTAAAAAATAATTTTTTTTTGCCAAAACACATTTTTTTTGGAAACCATTTTTTTTGCATAACAATGATTCTTTTGTTTCAATAGTAGGCTTTATGTTGTAATGTAATTCGTATTACAGAAAATGTAACTCGCGTTGATTGAAAATCTAATTTTAGTGCATGCAAAATGTAATTTGCTAAAGCAAACTCAAATGTAACTTGCGAATAGAAAGATGTAACTCACGCACAAAAATATGTAAATCATTCATATGAAGATGTAACTCCATATAATATCAAATGTAAATATAGAAATTGTCTATAAACATAACTCACACATACGAAAAATGTATTATTCTCATGTTTTTTTCAAATTTAAATCGAAATAAACAACCTTAATGTCTATAAAACACAAAAAACATATAAAAGAGATAAAAAAAAATATATTATAGAAAAAAGTATATGAATATAAAAAATGTTTTACAAAGAGTGTATAATAAATATAAAAAATAGTATACAAAGTAAGAAATAGTGTATGAATGTGAAATACAATATACTTATTTTATGTGAATTAATAAAATTTTGTATTAAATTGGTAAAGAAAAAAATTAATTCAGTTATAATTTAATTAGTTCAAGATAAAGATAAGTAAAAAATCACAAATAATTAGATATAACTCACACATAATTACATGTAACTCGCGCATAAAAATATGTAAGTCCCGCATAAGAAGATGTAACTTTGTGTAGTATTACATATCACTTCAGGAATCATGTATGAATGTAAATTGCACACTTGAAAATGTAATCACATGTTTTTATTAAATGTAAATGGAAATAATCAAACTCAATGCATTGAAAAACACTAAAAACATATAAAATGGAATTATAAATTGTAATCATATTTTTAATATTTTAATAATGGAATTGAAGATAATTGACAAAGAAAACAAGTAAAAAAAAGAAGAAAGAGTCGTGGAAGCATGGCTACTCAATTATTAAAATATGCCAGAAAGCATGGATATAGAAAATGCAAGAGAAAGCAAGAAAGGGAAAGGTCCAATGGAAGAATAAAAAAACTGGGTGAAGTTGTGGGTGAAAACGGTGCTGGAGAAAAAATAATGGAGTGAAGAAACGGAGCTGAAGAATAAAAACTGGTCAAATGAGAGAAGAATATTTGACTACTTCGTTTTTAATTAAAAAACACTACCATATTGGGGATCGGCACACCATGCACATGGTGGGCCGATCCCACGGTATAATTTGCCGGCAATGGCGGGGTCACCCCCAAAACAGATTTGCGAAATTTCAGATCTCAAATTCCAATTTTGTTGTTGAATTTTTAACACTTTTTGATTGATTCCTGCTCAAATTTCTCTGTTTCTACCAAAAATATGAGAGATAGCTCTCGATGAAAGCACCAATGTTGATAGAAAATAACCCGGGTAGAGAAATCGACATCATTTAAGTATATTCAAAATAACTTGGGTGAATACAAGGGGTTAGAGGCCTATTTATAGGCGTATACACAAGTCCAATAATAGAAGGCTACATGGGTTTGACCCGATTTATTAACTAATATTGACGCTAATGGGTCAGCCAGCTCGGTAACTAATTAAATAATCCCAGACCAATATCCGCTAGCTGGACTGTGTTCTGAGCTTGGTCGGGCCAAAACTCGGGTGTAACAGGCCGATAAACTTGGACCCGGACCATTATCCCAACATACATGAACTCAATTGACTTTTTGTTATAAGTACGTAGACCTATTTGATAGTTTTCCCTTTTTCAATTGAAACAATTTGTGTACGTTCATGCAGTTGACGGACTTGCCTCTATTCGCGTGCGCCCGCATTTATCGTGTTATGACTTTATCTCACCATTTTATTCATGTGATTCACGGCCTTTTAACCTTGGAGTGGTGTTGTACGTCCCATTGTTGATCCACAATCATGGTTGGTGCCTCAACATGTTCGTGATAAGATTTGCAAGCCGCCAAATTGTCTTAAGAGACCTGCAGGACGACACAGCCGAGATTCAATTTTTGGGAATTCGTCCCACATAGCCGGGATTTGATTTTTATGAAAAATTTGGCGTCTATACGAGATAAAATAATGATGTGTTTTAATAATAAAAACGACACCATAATGGGGTTAACCTCTCGATCCGTTAATGGGAAGTTAATTTCAAACAAAGTCTACGATCTTTTGAGAGTAAAAGGAATGGTTAGGGTGTGGATGAGCTTCATATGGAAATCGTATATCCCTCCTAAGTTCTCATTCATGACTTGGCTTGCATTTCGGAATCGGCTGCCTACCCAAGATAGCCTTGGTTATATGCACATAGTCAATAGGCGTGACCTTTGTAAGGGTGACTTGGAGACAATGCCACACCTCTTCTTTCTTCGTCCTTTCACATGCAGGGTATGGGAAAGAATTAGGGAGTGGATGGGCTTAGAGAACCAAATGACCACGTTGCAAAGCTCAGTCAAATGGATACCTAAGAAGTACAAAGGGTAAAACTTGAAAGCAACGGCTGCTCGACTTACCTTTTATGCCGCGGCATACCACATATGGCAGGCTAGGAATGCTTGTAGATTTGTTGGTAGCACGAAGACGGAAGATGAGGTTGTTGCGAAGATAAAGCATGTGGTATATAAGATACTATTCTCTATATACCCATATGAAATGATTACTTTTTGAAGGCCACAACATTGGTGGTTTGGCTGCATTTTTTATTTCGGCGAAGAGGAGTGTGTATTATAACCTCCTTTTGGCATGATTTCTCGCTTATGTTTGACACTCTGTTGTGATATGTGTGTGTGCGCCTTGCAGCACCGATTGATTTTTTTGAGCTTCCGGGGCATTTGGTATTGTATACTTAGGCCCCATTTTCTATTTTGGATTAGATCGAATAAAAACCTCTCCTAACCCCTACGCTAGGTAGGGGTGGGGGGTTAGGAGATATAGAACTTTTGATGTATAGTTTTCTTGGGTGTTAATATATATTTACATTTCATCCAAAAAAAGAGACATGCGGGACGTCGTAATAAGGCCAAAATTTCTTCTTTTGGGGAGTTTTGTGGATCTAAACGTCAAAAGTACTCTCATTGCCATGTACTTGGGCATAATAAAAAAATCTTGTCAGAATATTATACCTATATCTATGCACTGATGATATGTACTTCTATTCTTTAGTTCCAGATTTGGTTAACTCTTCCTATATCAGTTTATCACTCATACTTCTTTTGTAACAAACATGTGTTATTTTTGTTTGTTTGTTCACAACTACAACTCTTGGTTGTTACTCAGTTGGTTTTTGTTAATTGTTGTTTTGTTGTTATTTCATTACGTGGAATGAATGTTTCCGACTCTTCTTTTTGTGTAAGAGAGCACAATAAGAATATAAAAGTATAAATGACATTCAATTTGCATTCTGTTTTGGAATGTGTATCTTACCAGAAACATTTGTTATGAATGATACCCAATGTCCAACTTTGAAGCTCAATTTAAATCAATATGGACACCTCAATAACAATTGCGATTAAATAACGAATAAACATTCTTGATGTTAAAACATGAGTGCAGTGAACCAGTTCAACTTGGACAAAAGCAAAGAAAGCAAAAATTTTACATGACATGTCAGAAGGCACATTCAGCGGGTTATTAATTTTTTGCTGTTATGATACTACGTATTATCTAAATCATGATACAGACAGTACCGGTATAAATTTTACAATTTTTTTCGTAGTTTGAAGAACAAGTGGCAAAGATGTTCAAGTCGGTGATAGAGGTAAATACCATGACAAGTAATGAGGCAATGAGATAGTTGTGCGGGACCATTTGCATTTCCACTACTCAACAACAACAATGCAAAAAAACTTCCAACGCGCGTTGTGATTGATGTATGTCTATCTTTACAGATCTTTCACACTTGGAATGCTTGAACACCTGAGTTTTTTTGTGCTGATTTTCAACAATATGCAAAAACAATGTATTTCAAATGCATATATATACTCTATTTCGTATTGGAACAGAGGTATTATTATCATATGTGTATCTCACTTGGTATTATTATCATATGTGTATCTCACTTTAATTTAAAATAGTTCTATTCTTATGGTTATACTAAAATAATCAAAATATACCCAAACTAATTTTATTGTCCGTGCATTGCACAGGTACAATACTAGTATAAGTAGTCATGCAAACACGGAGAACAAAACATTGTATTTAGTGATTTTAGAAATAGTTAAAGTGCTAAATAGAGTTTAGAAGAATTTTAGACTACTAAGTTCAGTTACAGAAATTGTATCAAGTATTCTTAAGTACTCAAATTATTTCTACCTTGTCATCACAACACTGTCTGATTAAAGTACCCAAATCTCTGAAACTTATAACATATATTTTAGCCCTTTTCAAGGTTTATCCTAGAATGTCACACTATAATTAACTCCCCGATTGTCTGAAAATATATATATATATATATATATGTTGTTGAGGTTTATTCTCTTGGTCCAAGGGTCAACGCTTTCGTTTGGGCTTTCGTTGGATACTTTGGTGAGTTTGATATATATTAGTGGGTTGATTAACCGTTAAAAGGCACACGTACTAGCAAGGAAGAAAAGCAATGATAAGTGGCCCGAGTTCTATTAAGCATTGAGAACAATTACAGCGGCACACCCTGTGAGAATTAATGACAGGCTTACCAATGTGGTAGCCCTGGTGTCATATATATAATCAGAAGTGTTTAGAGTACATAACGAAACCTAATACAATAGGAATCCTATTACAAGGAAACTAATTAAATTAGGAGAAACCTAGTAAGATACTAAATACTC